TCAAACTGTCAAATTGTCAATCCTTGTACATGGGGAAGGGAAATTTTGGAGAAAGAAAAATTGTGACCAATCAGGTTGGGGCTCCACCTGTAGGCCTGGTCATAGGCATACAGGGCTGGGCTCAATTATTGGGCAGACTAGGCCAGTCGGGCAATATTTACTTCACAGTTGGGCAATATTGGCTTATTATAAAAATAAAAATAAATATGAGAAATTATTCCCTCAATATTCGGAGAAATATGCTATATAATGGTCGAAAATTTAGTTCATTTTGATTAATAGTCATTTAATATATGTGCTATCAACATTTTCTTTATGGTATTAAGTAACAGATTACAATGTTTGTACATTAGAGACTTAGAGGCACTAATAACTCAATAATAAATAGGCACTAATACAAACTCTGAGCCAGTGCACCCAGCATCCTCAAATTGGGAATAATTTGTAAATTTAAATGTTTGTGTATAATTCATAATTTATCCTATTCCAATACAAAATGCAATAAATATAGAACACACAATTTATCAAATAAAGGTAAAAAAGGTATTAAAAACTTTATTATGTAATATTTACATTGAATATCGTGGTTGAAGTTGTAGATTTATACTTGAAATTTCAATTTTCGAACGAGAAATGTTTCGCTTTATTATGACCTATTATGTTAATTAATTTTTTTACTTTGTTCGCCATTCTTGCTTATTTACAAATACAAATAGTCCATTTCTTTTGCTCTTTTTAAAATAGCCCAGAATTTGGTTCAAAAAAGTATTTTCATGCAAAAACCAGCATTCAACTTTTGTATACACTCCTTGTGATAGCAGACATGTTGCCAAAATATCACCCGGTTAATGAATAACTTCCGGTACTTTCATTGTATTCGCATTGACCAATCAAATCACGTTCTGAGTTGGATTATCCCAGGGCTTCTGAGAGCAATAAGCGCAGAAGCCCTGGGTACGAGGTTGGTCGAGTCTTGATGGTCTGTTAAGTTATCTGTATAATCAGCTCGAAGGTTTTGATCGCTGAAGTGTTAACTTTTTATATTCCAAGTTCTATAAAGTATCATGTCAACAGAATCAACAGAATCAGTCCGATGATTCCGGAGCGAATTTTATACCTGGTTAATATATTGTATTGGAAGATGCTGATCTGTAGCATCTCGTCAGGTCTCTTGTAGTATCAAAATATTACCAAATCTGTGACGCGTACGTGACGAAAAACTGCCGCTATTATCACAGTTTCACTTCACGGATAAAAACTGTTGTTGGCAAACAAAGTCAGGGACACGAGAAAAACAAAGTAAAACTAGAATTTCTCCCATTTATATTAGCGATTGTTTTTTAGTCGCGCCATGTCTCAGATTTGGCGCATCTTAAGCTTCCTACTAACGTAGACGTTCTATGACTTTGCAAGATTCATATCTCCGGTTCGGTGCATGCTATGAAGACAAAATTACTACCATTCGATTCAGTGAAACAAAATCTCCTTAGTTCTAATGATAGTTTTAGTCAAATATAGTTTTAGTCAAATTGTAGTCAAATAGCTATTTATGACCTTTGAGAGGTCAAGCGGTGTCATAATTCATTATATTACTCAATTAGTCTCGAACAATGTAAAGTAGCAAACCTTTAGCCGACCATAACTTCGGCCCCTTTGGACATATCTTTTTCATAATAGTCTTATTCGAACCGGAATCCAAAACACTATTCAGAGTGTTATTTTCAAGCTTGTGTCTTCAGATTTGCATCTTTTATTTCGGTATTACAAAATATTTATATTTTTAGCTGGCCCGCAAAACCGAAATACAATTGCAAATTGAATCATCAAAACAAAGCAAATCATCGTCAGTCTTTATTACTTTATTAGCTTCAGATAGTTAGGCTTGCCGAGCCACGGCAACGAAAAAAAATGCCTCTCGTAATCCTCTGTCCTACAATGATCCAAGCATACAGTCGAAGTCTTTGACGGCACAAACAAACGCTTTGCGCATACAAAATCAACCCATACTTTTCTTCGCCTTTTAGCTTCCGCGTGTTCGTCATTGAAGTATGGAATATCGTGTAGACTTATTCCATCTTTTAAACATGCTTTATTGGTACAGTTAGCTGCAACACAGTAAAAAGGCATATCTTTTTCGATCACAAATCTACCTTACTACCTATTTTATTATATATCCGCCGAGAGTTGATAGTACTAGTATAATCAAATAATAGAATATAGTATAGTCGAATAATAGACTCACTTGCGTGACGTAACAAAAATCGCTCGTTCCAGTTTCCTTCGAACACGGACGCCTGCCAACCAAAAGCCCAAATTTTGCGTGTTCAAACGGCTCTAAAAATTTTTCGTTTTGATGAAATCGAAAAATTCTTTCGCTGGAACACTATACTAAATGAGCACTTTCAATACACTGAAAAAAAAATTTTTGTGTCAGGGGCACTTTAAATCGTAGGCTCTTAGACGAAGAGAAAATACAAAGGGAAATTGAGCGCCAAGAGAAAATTCGACAAGAAGTGGAAGCACGAGCTCTAATAAGACATGAGGAAGAACAGGCAGAATTTGAAAAGCGTGCAAGGGAGGAAAAGTTTGCATTATCTTTGGAAGAAAAGAAGTTGGAAATTGCTTCTGCAAAACGGATCAAAACAAAATTACCTAATCTACAAATATCAAAATTTCAAGGAAGTCATTTCAACTGGATGCGGTTCTGGGGTTTATTTGAGACCCAAATTGATAAAGCACCTATGAATGATGAAGCAAAGTTTGCATATTTGAAAGAGCATGTTGTATCTAAAGTTAGGGTTACAATCGATAAATTATCACTCAGCACCGAAGGGTATGCGAAAGCGAAAAAGATGTTAAAGGAACGGTATGGTGATACAAGTGAGGTGGTCAATGCACACATACAAGAAATTATTTCCCTACCTACCATTAATGGTACTTCAAAACAAAAGATACATAACTTTTATGACAATCTTGTCGGACACGTTCAAGCGCTTGAAACATTCGGAAAACTAGGCGATGTTGCGGGTAAGGTAAGGATGACTTTGGATAAGTTGGAAGGGATTCGGGCAGGAGCGAAACCCAATACAACAAAGTGAGAAAGATGCGAAGAAAGATGGATCACCATGGAAAGACGGTAGGAAAGATAGATTATCGTTAGCAAAGGAACAATCCAGACAGTGTGTGTATTGTGAAAGCAAAAGTCACAGATCGGTAGAGTGCGATAAAGTTGTGAGTGCAAGTGACCGAAAGAAATTGTTAAGCAGCAAGCATCTGTGTTTTAATTGCACAGGCGAGAAGCATAGAGCAAGTGATTGTAGAAGTAGGATCCAGTGTTATAACTGCAAGCGAAGACACCATACTTCTATTTGTGATAAACTAGAAGATGGTCAAAAGCTGATGTGCCAACCCAATGGAAATGATGTTGTTTATCCAGTTGTTGTAGTCGAGATTGAAGGAGTTAAGTGTCGAGCACTTTTAGATACTGGATCTGGGAGCTCTTTCGCGTCAAGTACGTTATTGAATACAATTGGAAAAAAGCCAGTGAGACAGGAATTTAAATCAATTGAGATGATGTTCCAAACTACAACAAGGAAAATTGATGTGTACGAAGTCGAGATTGCAGATGTTGAGGGAAAATTCAAGATGCCATGTGAGTTGAACCGGATCGAGAAGGATGTGCTAATGACTTTGCCAAACCCCAGGTACAAGGAACTTATTAAAACTTATGAACATCTTCGAGGAGTCCATATGAATGACGGAGACGAGAAAGCACTTCTACCTGTTCACCTTAGGAGCCAGTGATATGTCCAGAGTCAAGACATCAGAACCAGCCAGGGTTGGAGACGATGGGATGCCAGTTGCCGAGAAAACCGCGTTGGGATGGACCATCATGTCACCGGGACGAGAGATGAATCATTCCTTCCTGATGTTCACCAAAAGCTCTCAAGAAGACTACATGCATCTTTGCAGCTTGGATGTGCTAGGATTAGAAGACCGTGCCGAAGGAGATCAAGGAAGCGTTTATCAGGAGTTTAAGGAACAGCTTACTAAGCGAGAAGACGGTCGATACGAAACGTCATTACCATGGAAGGCTAATCATCCAGAGCTTCCGACCAATTACCATGTTGCTAAGCGGAGATTTCAGTCATTATTCAACCGGCTTGATAAACAACCAGAACTGCTAGAGACTTACCACAGTATCATAGAGAATCAACTTGAGGAAGGAGTCATTGAAGTTGCACCAGAGAAAGCAGAGACAAGCCGAGAGCATTATATCCCACACAAGCCTGTAGTACGAGAGCATGCCGAGTCTACGAAAGTAAGAATTGTTTACGATGCTTCGGCAAAAGCGGATGAAAAATCACCTTCGTTGAATGATTGCTTGGACATTGGTCCCCCACTCCAAAGGCGAATCCTAGATATACTATTACGCAGTCGAATGAGACCAATTCTCTTGGCTGGTGACATAAAACAAGCATTCCTACAAATTGTGATCAGGGAGATCGAGCGAGATGTAATGAGATTTTTATGGATAAATGATCTACAACGCAAAGAAATGATGGTCTAGCTATCGCATGACCAGAGCGATGTTTGGGCTAGACCCAAGTCCATTTCTACTCGGAGGAACTTTGAATGTTCACCTCGAGAAGTATGTACAGCAATATCCACAGTGTGTTGAAGAATTGTCCGAAGGAACTTATGTTGATGATATAAACATTGGAGGTGACACAGTTGAAGAGACTAAAGTACTCAAAGAGCAGGCAAAAGAGATTCTTAGTGAGGGAAGTTTTATGTTGCACAAATGGCATTCTAATGCGGTGGAGTTCGAGAGTGACATCGTGGAAGACGGCGAATCTACTTATGCCAAAGAAACTTTAGGATCTAAACCATCTGATACTAAACTGCTGGGGTTGGGATGGAACAAGAAGGAAGATACTTTGTTTGTATCACTACCGAAACAGAATGTAGAAATGACCAAACGAACAGTCCTTCAAACAATGGCGAAACTGTATGATCCTCTGGGTATAGCTGCTCCGTATTTACTCACGGCGAAAGTAATCTTCCGGGACGTTTGCGATCGGAAACTTGGATGGGAGGTTGAGCTGCCCAAAGATCTTAAAAGCCGATGGGAGAGATGGTTAGACAGTCTGCCAAGTGTGTAAACCTTCCCAAGAAGCATTCCTCGAGAGAGAGCATCAATTACCGAGATTCACATTCATGGGTTTGCCGATGCCAGCATTCTGGGATGTTGTGCTGTTATCTATGTAGTGGCAAAGCAGGGTGAACTAGTTTCTCGAGGTCTGCTGGTATCCAAAGCACGGTTGGCGAAACGCGATTTAACAATTCCTAGATTGGAACTTGTCAGCTGTCATATGGTCTGCAACCTTATCCATAATACCAAAAAAGTTCTTAGTTGTCTTCCGGTGACGGGTGTTTATGCGTGGACTGATTCAACCGTTTGTCTACAGTGGATTAACGGACAGGGTAACTACAAGCAATTTGTGTGGAATCGCGTGAAAAAGATTAACGAGGAGAAAATTGAGTGGAGATATGTTCCAACTCAACAGAACCCTGCGGATATCGGTAGTCGAGGTACAACGAGAGATCTACAAGTCAACGAAACCTGGATGAACGGTCCTGATTGGTTAAGTGAGCCTGCGAAATGGCCGGAGCAATTACAGATCAAACCCAGCGAAAAATCTGAATTCGAAAGTCGAATGGTTAAAGAAGTGATGAAAGTTACCATTCCGAAAAAAGCTGATTTTGTCGATAGTCTGTTAGAGAAATTCCAGCTGTCAAAAACAGTACGAGTTTTAGCATGGGTCAAGAGATTTATTGACAACCTGGTGTATGGCAAGAAAGTCAATGGGCCATTGGCAACCGAAGAAATGCAGAAGCAGATGCAGTTCCTGATTAAACGAGCACAATCTGAAAGCGAAATACTTGAGAACTTCAAATATGATTCCACCAGATTAAATCTTCAAAAGAACGATGAAGGAATATACGTCTGTAAAGGAAGAATCCAAGGCGAATATCCTGTGTATCTCCCAGCAAAACATGTTTTATCCGAAATGATTGTAAAGCAAGCCCACGCGAAGACTCTGCATGGGGGAGTTGGTCTGATTATGAGCAAAGTTCGTGAAGAATACTGGATTCCAAAGCTACGAACTCTAGCTAAGAAAGTCCTCAGCCATTGTTATGGATGTAAGCGGTTCCACACAGCACCAGAACCTAGCCCACCTCAAGGTAATCTCCCGAAAGAAAGAACCGAAGGCATGACGCCATTTGATGTAGTAGGTGTGGATTACGCCGGACCTATTTATTACCGCAGCAAGAAGAATGAAGATAAGTCGTACATCCTCATCTACACATGTTCCTTAACACGAGGACTCCACCTGGAACTTTTACCGAATTTAAGTTGCGAAGAGTTTCTGGCAAGTTTCAAGAGGTTCGTTGCAGTCCGAGGACGACCGAAGAAGATGATCTCAGATAATGGGAAAACTTTTCATGCAGCGTCAAAGTGGATAAAGAAAGCAACCCGAGATGAAAAGTTCCACGCGTTTCTGCAAGATCATAAAATCCAGTGGCAGTTTAACTTAAGCAAGGCCAGCTGGTGGGGCGGCTTGTTTGAAAGAATGGTTGGACTGATGAAGAATTCGTTTTACAAAGTTGTTGGTTCAGCTAAACTCACTTACAAAGAGTTGCAAGATGTATTATTGGACATACAAATAGTACTGAATAACCGCCCTTTAACGTATTGTGAAGATGACGTGCAACTTCCGGTTCTCACACCAAACCTCCTGATATTGGGAAAAGCAAATTATCTATGAGAGTTGCCTGTCGAAGAAATTGAAGAAGACGATCTACGAAGGAGAGCAAAACATTTAAAGAAGTGTAAAGATGCGTTATGGCGTCGTTGGCGAAATGAATACATGAGAGCACTTCGAGAGAGACACGATTTACGACACCACGGGAAAAGCGCACGATTGCAAGAAGGCGATGTAGTTCTTATCAAGGGCGATGAAAAGAACCGAGGCAAGTGGAAGATTGGAATCGTGGACAAACTAATACCTGGAAGAGATGAAATCGTGAGAGCGGTGAGACTGCGTGCAGGAAAAAGTTACCTCGAAAGACCTATTCAGTTTCTATATCCAATGGAGCTACACTGTGAAGCGAAGAAACAAAATCAAGGAGAACTGAATCCCGAAGCCGGAGAGTTTAGACCAAAACGAAGAGCAGCGGTTGAAGCATTAAGGAATATTCATCAGATGCAGGAGACTGAAGAGGACGGTGACTAATAACTTTGCATGGGTATAAGTAAAACTGTAAGTGACTTGATAAAGCGAACAACAGTTAGTCAAACTTAGTCAGTTTATATTTCAAATAAGGATTATTTAAAATAGGGGGAGTGTGTCGTGAACGTTTATACAGTTACATTTATAGATCAGTAGTGTTAATATTATTAAGGAAATGTACAATTTGATTGACACTTCGGATATAGTACATAACATGTGAGCGAGCGTTGATTTTAGAACGGGAATTATAACTTAAACAAAACGTGATATTATAAAGTCTTTACTTCTTCGAACCGATTGTGGGAACCAAACTAAACTTCACCACAACGCTGCTCGCTTCCCTGCGTCTCCACTGAGTTCATTCTGGACTTTATGGCAATACGAAGAACGTTCATAATTGCGATAATTGCGAATTTTCATCTTGAAATCAAGTCCGGGTGTTGCGTTTTTCCAAATTTCAGTCGAATTCTGAGTCCATCATTCCATATGTCCAGTTCATGTTTGTCCTATGCCTTACGGGTACAAGGAACGAATCGCACGTGTAAATTGTTCTGGAAGAGGTCCCCATGTAAGTTCCAATTTAAAAGAGCGCAATCATTAGTTAAACAACGATTTAATCCTACTGACCGTGTACTGACGTACTCAGCAAAACAAACCGACTATTACAAGGGCAATTGATAAAACTAGAATAGTGAAGCGAATAGTGTGAATAGTGCGAATAGTTGACGAATAGTACGAATAGTCCGCGAATAGTCGACGAATAGTGCGAATAGTCCGCGAATAGTCGACGAATAGTGCGAATAGTCGACGAATAGTACGAATAGTCCGCGAATAGTCGACGAATAGTACGAATAGTCGACGAATAGTGCAATAGAGACTTTGCAAGGCTTTCCACCGTGCTGTAGAACTAAATTTACCGAAGCGGGGGGTGGGGCTCTATTGACAAACATGAAATCGTGAAAACATTCGTTGATGTCAATGACGTCATACGTAATCGGTAAAAATTACGGGACCACTGAGTTTTAACAAATATTTAACAGGAAGTAGAATGACAATCAGTGGCGCCGTGGGACCCATGTTTTTTTTTGGGGGGGGGGCAAGGGCAGT